ACCAAATCTGCAAAAGAGTACGTTGCTCAATTTGATGAATTATTTACTCGATGCAGCACCATTGAGAAAGAGACACCAATGAAAGTTTTGTCAAAGTTTAGAGTCGGATTGCGAAGTGACCTCCAAACCGAACTCTTTGCTCGAGGAGTAGACACACTTGAGAGAGCTTACGCCTTAGTTCAAGATCTAGATGAAGCCAAATTCCACCAATCTCATAGGAGTCAGGATTTTTGAACTCATTCCTCCCAGCCTTCTCGCGCCACTACCTCTAGTCAGCCTCCGAGTCAATTTAACTCTAGTTATTCCCAGTCTAGAGTCGATCCCAAGGGCCAGAAGTCAGAGATCTCTCTCTCTCCAAACTTAGCTCAATAATTCTGTGTTATAATTGTCAAGGATATGGACACGTTGCTACTGTCTGTACAACTCCGTTCAGAGTTAGAATTAATAAGCCGTCTATAACGGAATCAAAATCTATTATTGAGGAAACCGTTAACCAGACCGTAGATTTGATAGAATCTAACTCTCATAAGGAATTCCAGAATACTAAAATTAACAAACCATGCATTCCCATTTCTTTTGAAACTACCCCCCTGATCACGGAGCCCACTGATGTTATCTGTGAAGTTTTTGAAATTGAAACTTCAACTCCTCCTGAACCAACTCCAGTGATTGAAAATGTTGTTGATACTCCCTACGAAGTCCTCCCGGACAAACATGACACCCAACACGTTCCTGATTTAGTTATTGATTCGGTTCACTCGGATATCTGTATGGAAGTTGAAACCCAAACTGAGCATAGTGAAACAGCTACCATATTAGATATCACATCCTCATGCATTGTCCCGATAGTCACTCACGCATACACTGATCCTTTTTGGGAATCTATAGTGATTAGGGATACAAGTTTGAGCACGAGTGCTTTTATTTCCTTTCTCCTTCATATTAAGCACACAAAAACACTCCTTCATGCATGTGTTTGCACATTCCTCCTTATCACTGCAAAAATAGGAAATTTGTTATACATATTAACGAAGGAACACCTAATTATTCCATTTGATAGAGGATGTCATGCATTTTAGACACTTCGTTGAGTTACATCTGCCATTGATCACATTGTTCGAGTTTGCATTTCATACAGTCATTTGAGTTGATTGGCATCATTTGAGTTAAATATCATTTTGTTTTGATTTGCATTGATCATATATTGGGGAATCAGTATCTAACTTGAATAAATACATTGTTAACTGAAATGAATGATATGGAGTCAGAACCTAATTTAAAACTATTGATGCTGATATTTTAGATGGTTTGGACTTGTCCAATACAGTTCTGTATTGCTGTTTAAGATTTGACATGATATTTATGAACTTTTCCAACTCTTGAAATGATTAATGGCAACATTTATTGATTTGATCATAGTTCTATTTTCAATATTGAGTGATTAAACAGTCACAATGTTATTAACAGTCCACTAATATAAGCCTGACCCTAGCCTATTATTTCTGAGAGTTCTTTCACCTTTTACCCCCACTTCTATATATTCATCCAAGCTGCGGTGAATTTTGATAATATTTTAGATGGTGAATTTACAATGCAATTTAACTAATGATTTGAGATGCAGAAAAAATAACTGACGGCAGATTAAGATGCAGACAGGGTATATTTGAAGATGACAAGTTTCTGCAGCTAACTCGACGGAGTCGAGTTTTCTCCCACCCGGGGAGAATAATGAGGACAAGAAATGACAATATTTGATTAGTTGATATATTTTTGAATTTTGAATTTTGAATTTTAAATTTTGAAATTTGAAATTTGAAATTTGAATTTTGAATTTTGAATTTTGAAATTTAGTTTAATTGTAGTTGAGTGATTTGAGGGATTATTGTTTGTTTCTATTTTTATTACACGTTGTGTACACGTAGTTTTTTTTATAAATAAGGTTGTATGAGACTATTGAAAATTAATGAATTATTGAATGAAAATTAAGTTCTTCTCAAATGAGAATTTCTTTGTATTTGGTGTGTGAAACCCAAATGCCGGTTCTAGGTGTGTGAAACCCTAGTTACTTATCCCCAAATCCATCTATCCCTCCATTCCCCTCACAGATCCATCTCCACCACTCATTACAAAAAGAAAGAAAACCCTAGATCTAGTCCCCCCTCCCAGCCGTCAGCCCCCATTAACTCTCGTGAGTTTCTCTTCCTTCAACAACCGCAGCCTCTCCCCCGCTCTCTTCTCCTTCGAGCAACGTCGCCGACGTCCTGTTCTCCTCCACTTCCGAACAATTTCGTCGCCCGCGTCGTCCCGCCGCCTCGTCGATATCAGATCTCCTTTCGTCGACGACCATCACCGTCCTTCGTCCTCGAATGTCGTTCGCGCCTCTCGTCGTCGTCGGATCTCATGCTCTTTCGTCGTTCTTCGTAGTCGAACAGACCCGCCGCTCGTTTCGCCTTTCTCTGCCCAATTTCAGATCGAAGAACTCATAGACAAAGGAGACTTTGGATCGGGTTTGTCTTCGGATCTAGTTATTTGATCAGACTCGATTCCAACTCAGTTGGATCTGATGGTATCAATTTCTCTTTATATTTTTTTGTTAATCTCAATTTATTAGTTAATTACATGAATAATACATCTCTAAACTCTTATCTTATATTCACTGCTTGATTAAATTAGTGAGTCGAGAGTAACTGAACATGTGACTGTTAATCTTGATATTGATTGTAGAACTTGCACAACGATAATTAATACTGCAATTAAATTGATCGAGATTGGAATTGTTTATGACTATTGAGACAAATCTTGTTAAAATCCATCTGTCACATTAATTATTTTTAAATTAATTTCCTACAGAATATTATGAATTTTGGCGAAACGGTGCATTGTTTAAATTAGATCGCTGATTCCGATAGACCCCCTCCCCCGTTTCGCATCAGACTTCTTAGGAGCTTTCCGAACTCACCATAGGATCTTTGAGAGGAGGAAGAGAGGCTTGTAGGGTGTTTGGAAATTGATATAAGGTTTGGGGTGTTGAGCTTGGTCAGAGATCACTTGGAGAAGATGAGGAGTTACTGTTCGTAACTGAGAGAGCTCAGAGTTCTCAGTTTCTTTTCTTTTGATCTTTTTTTTTAGAGGTGAAACATGAAGAGGATAAAATGCATTTGTTTTTATTTTTTCACTACAAATCAATCCCCTAAATTACACTAAAGAGAAGCTCGTCATCCCACACCGCTGCGCAACGACGCTCACGCCCTGAAAATACGGAGTCTGTTGTCCATGAAGAATGTTCGTAGTTGCTACAGTAAATTTTCCTTTTTTTGGAAAATTATTTCCTGTTTTTCCGAAAATATCAACATGCACTGCGTGTTTTGACTGTAACTTTGTCATACGACCTCTGAATGAGGTGATTTAAAATTTGTTGGAAAGCTATTGAAAAGACCTACAACTTTGGTCTTTTGAGGTTTCCCAGATTCTTACTGCATCAATGTGTAAAACACATAAACTCTTAAATGGTCCTTTCACCAAATTTGCATTTGCACTTGTATATACACATATATACATTGAATTGATCTCAAATCAATTCCTAGCATACTCAAACATCAAAATATGTTATTTATTATCATATAACATTTTTATTACTATTTATCACAACACATTCAAATTTTACGGGGTTTTACACATATCAAGGAGAGATTAGGCATGATCTTCAAAAGTGATCAAAGGCTTTCCATTTTTTAACATATTCTTGTGAATCCAGAGGACGAGATCACTAATACCCAGCAATATTAAAATGTGAGTTTATAAATTTGAAATAACCACAGAATATGAATTTTATAGGATCTTTTCAGAGAGAAGTAATCAGTAACATTCTTAGAAGATTGAGAAGAATTAATTAGGAACACGTTTAAAGTGAATAGATATAAGTTCATATATAACAAACATCATACTTTTTTTTATCGTAACAAACATTATACATCGATCAGCTGCTTATTCGATCTATATAACAAACATCATACTTTTTTTTATCGTAACAAACATTATACATCGATCAGCTGCTTATTCGATCTGAGTCTCATATCATTGCTTAGGAAATTATTCAATTACAGTACCCATTAATATTTCGCAAACTTATATTTCAAGCATTTTCCCGCCACCATTAATGAATAAGCTTGCACTGTAGCTAGATATTGTACACACTACCGTGCAACCCTCTACCTTAGTATTTAATTTTTTTTTGTTACTTGTATATATACCCTTGAATCATGGGTATTTACAAAAATACCGATTAAACTTTAGTATTTGTAAAAATACCCTCCAAACCATCAACTTTGGGGGGGAAATTGCCCTAAAATCAGTAAATTATCAACTTTGTGAGTGAAAATTAGATTATTCGTTAATGAATTTTACATTCAGTTACAAATCATCCCATTAAAGTTAACGATTGATTAATTTGGGAATATTTTTTTCCGAAATTGATGATTTGAGGGGTAGTTTTGTAAATATTCATGATGTAAGGGGTATATCTGCAAATAAACATATAAATAACCAATTTTTTAACCCACCCTATTCCAAAAAGTGCTTTTACCTATGAGCCCAAAGCTTTTACCCACACTTGTTTTAAAACCCATCCACTTCCAGAAAAGATTTTTACCTATAATTTTTAAACCCAATAATTTTTACACTCATCAATCACTCTTCAACGGTAAATATTTCGCCTAAAGTTCAACTTCCATTGTTAAAGTCATCCACTTTCTAAAAGGTTTATTACCTATAAACCCAAAGTTTTACCCCCCTTTATTTTAAAACCACACACTTCTAAAATCAGTCTTAGACATAATAGAAAAACCTCCATTAGATTAATTATAAACATACTTTGTATTAAAACAATCATGTAGGTAATTTGTAATATTTTTATTGGAACTTTCTATTTTTCTGTTCTAAATGGTCATCCATTTTATTTTTTGAATGAAATGGTTAAAATATTAGTTTTTTTACTTTTGCACTACGCAAATGATAGTGAGTTTTTTGCTTATAAACTAGACGTTTTACACTATTTTTTATTTTTAAACTAACACAATTTTGGATAAAATTAGTTATTCGTTCGCACATCATTTTCTTAGATGAGATAAATAAACATGTGAACAACGTTTTAAAAGGGGAGGCTTTAATCGCAAACCATCTTTTTCTCTTTCTATATAAAGGAGAGATTAGCCATGACCTTTGAAAGTGATTGGAGGCCTTCCAACTTCAACATATTCTTGTGAATCCGGAAAAGGAGATCACTAGTACCCGGCAATATAAAACTTCCAATTAAAATGTGAGTTCATAAGTTTGAAATAACCACAGAATATGAATTTTACAAGATTTTTCAAAAAGAAATGATTAGTAATATTCTTAGAAGATTGAGAAGAATTAATTAGGAACACGTTTAAAATGAATAGATATAAGTTCATATGTAACAAACATAATACATTGATCAGATCTCAACCCCATATCATTGCTGAGACTTCCATTTATTTTTTGGTTCAACAAATCAAATTACAAATGAAATTCTTCATTTGTACAGTATCCACAATTACTTTTAGAATACTATATTTCAAGCATTTTCCCGCCGCCATTCATGAATAGGCTTCCCATAGCCTTGGCCCTCTCCCTGAGAACAAACTTCTGCATCTTCCCCGTCGAAGTCTTCGGCAGCTCCCCGAAAACCACGCTCTTGGGCACCATAAAATCCGGCAGCCGAGCCCGACAGAACCCTATAATCTCCTCAGCATCAGCAGAAGCTCCATCCTTGAGCTTCACAAACGCACACGGCGTCTCCCCCCAGTACTCATCCGGTCGTCCAACCACCGCAGCTTCAAGCACCGCCGGGTGACGATAAACTACCGACTCGACCTCGATCGTGCTTATATTCTCCAGGCCGGAGATTATGATGTCCTTCAGCCTATCCTTCACCTGAATATACCCATCAGCATGCCTCACCCCGAGATCCCCTGTCCTCATCCATCCCCCTGCAAAAACCTCCTCTGTGGCTTTTAAGTCCTTGAAGTATCCGTTCATCACCGTGTTGCCTCGAAACATAACCTCCCCCATTGTTTTGCCATCGGCCTGGACGCTTTTCATTGTCTCCGGATCTTTGACGTCGACCGCCTCCGTTCCGATATGTCGAATTCCCTGCCTCCCCATCATCTTTGCCTGCTGATCCACCGACAGCTCGTCCCACTCGGGCTTCCACTCGCACACTGTCGCGGGCCCGTAGGTCTCCGTGAGTCCGTACACATGGACGACTTTAAATCCCATCTCCTCCATCTTCTCCAAGACTGGTGGTTGCGGGGTAGCCCCGCCCGTCATGACGCAAACCTTGGTCAGCAAGCGGACAGTTTGCCATCATGTTGAGGACGGTAGGGGCACCGGTCATGTGCGTAACTCCGTACCTGGTGATTTTCTCGAAGATGGTCTTTGCGGTGAAATCGCGGAGGCAGACGTTGAGCCCGCCCTGTGCCGCTATGCCCCAGGTCAGGCACCAACCATTGCTATGGAAAATGGGCACCGTCCATAAGTAGACCGGCAAAGTCCTTATTTCACTAAAGAGAATGGAACTGATGCAGTTGAGGTAGGCGCCGCGGTGTGTGTAGACCACGCCTTTCGGCCTGGATGTGGTGCCGGATGTGTAGTTTAGGGCGATAGGATCGCACTCGTCGATCGGCCACTTGATGTCGAAGCAGGGGTCTCCGGTTTTGATGAGGCTTTCGTAGTTTAAACCAGGTGAATGAGAGGAGTCTTCAGAGGGTTCCGGGATTGGGATGAGGAGAGGGGATTTGGAGTTGGATTGTGAAAGGAGGTTGATGGCGTCTTCAGCGATTGTGAGGAACTGGTGGTCGACGAAAATGAGCTTGGCTTCGGAATGTTTGAGGAGGACGGAGACCATGGCTGCGTCGTGGTGAGCGTTGAGGGTGCAGATGACTGCCCCGGCCATTGGGACGCCGAAGTTGAGCTCGTACATGGCTGGGACGTTTGGAGCGAGGACGGCAACCTGGTTCGGCAATAGAAGAAGATTCAGTGTACAGACTCTCTATGACCTTGATTGCAAAGAATGTCTATAATTAGTTATTAGGAATGATATTATTAGTTTATCTCCATATAGATTCTGCATTCAAAAATGTGAGATTCATTCCCTAGAATCATAGCGATCATCATGTTAAAAAGTTACGAGTCAACCGTGGAGCTGACATTCTTTACTCTATAAAGAATTACAACTAGATTCAGAGCATAGGTACGTTTTTCATTTATTTCATCTTCTGTCATAATGAATATAAGAATTTCCAAAACTAGAACCAGAGGCACTCTTCTTCTTGTGAATGTTGTTACTTCAAAATAACTAAAAGGAAATAATTTGCGATATTCTAACACTATGAGAAGAGTGATGCATGCTAGAAAAACTCCAAAAATAGAACACGTATATTCACGGAGCATATGAGAGATAGAGATTATAGTTACCACGTCGCCGCGGGAAACGCCAAGGTGTGAGAGAGCGGAAGCGAGCCTGAGGCAGCGGTCTCGGGTCTGTCTCCAAGTAAACTCGATGGATTCATAAACAACAGAGGTCCGATCAGAGTAAACCTCCGCAGACCGCTCGATGAAGCTCAGTGGAGAGAGAGGGACATAGTTTGCGGAGCAACGAAGTGTGCCTTCCATGCCTTTTGCTTTGCTGTGCGTGGATAAGCTAGTTTTTCTGCAGACTATTGAAAGATTTGTTTCAGCGGATTGAAGGAAGGCTAATGAGGTTCTTGGTATATCTTAGAAGCTTAAGAGATATAGGTAATATATAGAGATGTGGGTCAAAATAGTCACAATAAATTAGAAAGGTCGTGGAAGTTGCTTTGGTTCACCGAATTGATATATTTAATAAACCTGCACGTGAAAGTTGCTTCCGTTCCTCCAATTGATATATTTAACAAACCTGCTAATGGATGTATACAAGGTTTACTTCAATAAAGAGAGGCGTTGACTGACGGATAATGTCGAAAGATTTATTAGATGTTTTGAATACGATCATGACATCCTCACTTTCATATATTTAATTTAATTTTCGAGAGGGACTTAACATCATTGGTGTGATTTTAGTTAAATAGGGGCCGCCGAGAGGGACTTAACATCGATCATTGGTGATTTTAGTTATTCAGATCTGATTTGGGGGGTGGGGGGCTGATTTTTTGAGGAGCTAAGAATGAAAGGAGAAAGGAGAAAGGGGTGGTGGATTAGGTTTTGGGTTATTTTGATACGGAGGGCTGAGATGAAAGTAATGAAGGGCTGAGATTTTACATCCTTAGATGCACTCTAGAGGGGTTATTCATTGGTGTAAATTGGGGCAAATTGGATTAAATGGTTCCAACGGGATAATTTTACCCAATGAGACAATTTGAGTAGGATAAAGTGGGGGTAAAATGGGATAATGAGACAAATTTGAGTGGGACAATTAGTATGACATCTTTTTTATAATATGATATTATAGATCAATTAAGTTCAAGTTTAACTTGATATAACATCAAATGATTAAATAAATAATAGTTATAATATACAACAATATTATTTTAATATTATTTTAATATAAAATATTAAAAACAATATAATTATATTAATAATATTAATATTAATCAATCTTTGAATATTTTGATGTTTATTTTAGCTATTATGTTATATTAACAAAATTTTCAATTGCAATAACTATTTAATCATTCCTACATCTATTACAATGATGATGGTAAAGTCTCAATTATTACAAATAAAGTCTTTAGCCGGTAACTTAAATCTTAATTATTACAAATATAATCTTCCGACATATAACTTTGCTCCAGACTCCTTAGGCTACGTTTGTCCCATCCTCCCACATTGTGTTTGCCATTTGCTCTCTCCAACGTGATGCAGCTGTCCGCTGTGCTTGTTGAGTTTGTAGGTCATCGTCCTCATCAGAATCACCATCAAGCGGAGCAACATTGCGTGGTGCCTCTGGAGGAAGATCAGAATCACCATCAACCGGAGCAACATTGCGTGTGCTTAACATACATATATATGTACAAAAATGATATTTAAAACCATGTAGTCATCAAAGCATTCATGTGCTTAACATAAAAGTCCAAAAGCATATAACTAACAACATCTATGTTCCCAAAAATACAACTCCAAAAGAGTAGTCATCAAACTACGGTCCACAAGCGTAGTCATTAAATAGTCATTAATAAGCATAGTGATTGTCGTCATTTGGAAATACTCCAGTCAGTCGCCAAATCATAAACTTTCTCCTTTGATCATCATTCATTTTCACAAACATATCCTTCATGTCTTGGGAAATATCAATAATGACCAAAATTCATTTGCTCAAAGACTATAGCTTTATGTAGTATGTACATGTAAGAGTTCAAATATAGCAAAAACATTGGTGTTTGAATGCTCAAGTCTACTATGTCAGCACTTATAATTTATGTTCAATGATAACAAACAACTTTAGCATATAACAGAGGGATCACTTATAACAAGAATTCACAGAGGGATCACTTATAACAAATAACTTTAGGCACTTATAATTTCCACTTTCACTCAAAAACCCTTTTACCTTAAATTCGTCCAAATTTAAAGAAAATCGTATGAGTAATACCATGATGGTCACAAAAATCGCTGAAATACTTATTTTGGATGCACATATTTTCTATATAATTAGATAGACCAAGAATTCACATTTCACGTCCATAAACTTAATATTTTTCTCAATTTGTAAGTAAATGGAAGGGACAAAGTAAATCAACTCCCTATTATTAACTTAAACAAGGCCAATTATAAACCCAATATCCAAATTTAGATGCACGTCCTCTTCTTTTTGTCTTGCTTTACTTCATTTATGCCGACTGTTAGGGGGAAAAGGGCACGTACCTGGGTTCGAGAGACGGTTGAGGCGGCGGAGGAGGCGGCGGAGGAAGAGACGGAGGAGATGGCGGTGGGGAAATCCCGGCTAGGTCTATCGAGCTCGAGAACGCCGACGGAGGTGGGCCTAGCTAGGGCTATCGAGCTCGAGAACGGCGACGTTGAGGGTGACGATGTTGGCGTCGGATCTCTTCGAGGGGGCGACAGAGGAGCGGACGATCGAGCTCGAGAACGGCGACAGAGGAGCGGGTGATTAGAAGTGGGTAATTTTGTTCCCCTCTTGTTCCAGGAAGCGATATGGGGTAATTTTGAGGGTGGGGGCTGAGCGGTCTTTATATAGTTGGTGTAATTTTAGGGGAAGTAGGGTATGTGTCCCACAATTATCCCAACAAACCAATAACACCATGAAGTTAAATCCAGCATCAATTACCCTAATGAATAACACCAAAAAGTATTGTTCCAAAAACTATCCCATTATCCCCAAATTTACACCAATGAATAACCTCCCTAAGGAGCCTCCTTAGGTACATATTACCCCTACCCCCCCATGGCTCCCTGCGCCCAGCTCATCATTGCTTGCAACGAGGTTAAAATTGATATGTTGCAGAAGTATAGATTAAAAGTGCTCACATGCTACTTGGAGAAGTATGCCCAACACTATGGATGTACTGTCAGCTTCATCAAGGGAGCAATATATCTATCATCAAAGCAGCAATTTAGGACCGATATACTGGCACCACCTCGACTATGGTATTTATTTGTCGTTGCACCTATTTCTTTAGTAGGTTTTTAATGTTTTAGGGGTTTCACCAGCGCAACTAAAGCCGAACTCCATTTCTCATCTGGTGGCCTTCCTAGTTATCTGCCACCATGTGAATGTTGAGCCCACGCTGGGCATTTTGGGTCATCTTGCAAGAAAGAGAGCCATTTCTACATGCAGATAATCGGTGGTTACCGACTGGTGTCCAACATTCCCAAGACAAACAAGAAGCGGAGGGAAACGTTTTTCTTTATCCTTCTCGCCGATCCGATTTTGGCTTGCCTCATGTGGCCAGAAATTAAAAAGGAGAGTCTAAGAGTGGAGAAGCTCTCGGCAGTTGAGGCGCGAGGGTTGGTAGAGGATGCGTGTCTACAAAGGATCTCGTTCCTGGGAGAACCTGTTCGACAATGCTATCCTTCCAACTATTGGCATATCTCCTATCCTCACCACTGAGGCAGATCAAGCCTGAACTATGGTTCTAGTGGTCGACAAGAAGCCCACATACCGGTTGCTTTGGGTCTTCCAACTATTGCACTGGAGGATCAATATGAGAGGTCCTTCCCCCATTGCATCGACAAGCTTTCCCCTCACACTTAGAAGGCGATCCAAGCGTTGTTGATGGGGCCTGTTAAATCCCCTCCTCGCTATGAGAGAGAGCCGTTGGTGGAGCATCTCATTATTTCTAAGCACCGCATGGATCGTAGGGGGTCAGTATTGGAGTTTAGAGCTGATCAAGCAAAAGCTATGAAGCAAATCATTCTTTCAGATGATGAGGCATTGTTGAGCAGTAGTGTTTTTAATGCACGAGGTGCAATGCATGGCGCAAAGTCAGTTTACACGAACATGCACAATGCGCAATGCGATGTGCATACCCGAGTGAAGCGAGGCACACTCCAGACCACAAAAATTTTGAAGATATACAATATGCATGAAAAATATATATTTGTGAAATTTCACATAGAAAATGTCAATGACTCAATATAAATAAAGTATATACTACCAAATCACAAGATAATGTTTTAATCATTGAAGCAAATCAAGTTGTCCATCAAAACAAATCAACTAAGCAGCAACACTTAAGGAGTTCACTAACATCAAAGCTAAGCAAGCAATCTAACAAAAAAAGCAAATAAGTAGCAAAATAATAGCCTAATGACTCTAATAATCCTCATTAACATCATCATCATCCCCTTCAAAGGGAATATCCTCCTCTTTAGTCTCCTCCTCCTCATCATTAAACTCCTCTTCATCTTCCGACTAAGAAACTGGCTCCCTCCTCCTCGATGATGAACCAATACCACTCGAAGATCCTCGAAACCTACTAGTCGATCTTAGATATATAGCATCATCTTCTTCATCTCCCATTACCACTCGAAGATCCTCGAAACCTACTAGTCGATCTTAGATATATAGCATCATCTTCTTCATCTCCCATAGCATCTCCTACGACACCATATCTAAGGTTGTACTAGCCCTTCACCAAGTCATTCTCTGCATTTTCACCTTCACCGAACTGCCCTAACAACCACTCATTGCTTTCATCTATATCAGCCAACTTAATCGGATCAATAGAATCTCTACAGTCAAATTTCTCCTTCAATGCTTGGTTGTACTTACAGTAAAGTTCTTGAAACCTCTTATGATCCAATCTATTCCTCTTCTCGGTGTGTATCTGTAATTTATACAAATTAATCAAATCAATATCAATATCTCAAAGGGAATTAAATCTATTTTGTTGAATAAAATAAAACTAATCATACTTGCTCAAAAGTACTCCAATTTTTTTCATAGTCAAAGGAGCTACAAGTAAGGCTGAGGACTCTAACAGCAAGCTTCTGTAACTCTGGTGCTGATGCACCATAAGACTCACACCAATCAGCCATCAATTTAAATAGAGTGTGATTAGTAGTGTATTTCCTATAAAAAAAATCTAGTCAATTAAGGGTTTATATTATGCATATTTACCTAGAGACTTCTTCTTTCTATTTCTCTTAGCTATCTTTATACCAAAAAGACCCCCAGCATGCCTATATATATCCAACTGCCTATCAATCTTGTCTTCGTCTTGTGTGGGCACCATCTTCTCAATGACTTGATAAAGACATTTCATAACTTCGTTATCCCCTTGGATGTTTGGATGGTCATAGAAAAATGCAGGATTAAGGTAATATCCTGCAATATGCAAAGGCCGATGAAGCTGATCTTGTCACCTCTTATCAATGATATCAAATACCTCAGAATATTTTGTTGAATCATCAACAAAGGCTTTAGCATTAGCCTCCTTAGCTTTATCCATCGCCTCATAAATGAATCACATAGCAGGCTTCTTGTCACCATCAACAAGCTTCAGAATACCAATGAGAGGAGTCGTGAGCTTGAGAATACGAACGATGTTGTTCCAGAAAGATGACATATGAACCATCCTTTCAGCTGATTTGCCCTTTGAATCTCTTGCCCACTTACTTTGCCTCCATTTCTCCAAAT